TCTGGTGGCCTCTACTACTCTACAAAGCCCTTGCAATTGGGTTTCACCCTTACCACCACACACAAGGCTAGCCCTCAAACGCTCTTTTACCAACTGGAGAAAGGCCCATCATGTTAAGATCTCCTGCTACTCTCCACGACATAAACATCTTTCTCTACTTGAGTTTGGATTATTGAGAGTGTCAGGATAAACCACCAATACAAAGCTTCAACCATTCATACAAATAACACCACAGGGCATCACCATGTATCCTCTCCGCGAGGATCATGAAATTACGTCCATCAATACCACTCACAAATAATCATTCACATATTCCTCATCATCATAACCATCTCATAATCATACATACATATACTTCACACACACATTGCATACTAACATATAAAACTTTGATCATACTTCAAAGGACCATAAATAACCAGAAACACCCTTACAAGTCATCAGAAGTCACATAATAGCACAATTTTATTTATGGCATCTTGATGCCCACATTTAGGTAAGGAAAACAGCTTGGAACTCCTCACCAACAGCTCCAGAAGGGTTCAAAGCCCCCAAAATGACCTAAAGAACATCCAAAACTCATATCTAAAACCCTGAAAACTCTCCAAAACAGTTGCAATGGCGCCCAGGGGCTGGCGCTCAGAGCTGGCACCTCTGGAAACGGGCACTTTGCGCCTTGTTTAGGCGCTATCAGAAAACTCCAACCCTTTTTAGCCCACTTCGTACACTTCTCCCACAACTTTGAAAGGTTTCCATGACCTTCTAAACACTATGAAACTTTAGAAATTACATCTCTAACTCAAATTGACCATCTGAAACCTAATTCACTCACTCTAACTCGTCCAAACTTGGTTCTATACCTTTCCTATCAGATTTGTACAACTTAAAAGCTTAAAAAGTGATAAATGACTTTATGACAGACCCAAATGTCTCAAACAAGCTTACAAACCTAGCTTCACAATTTCACCACTCAAAACTCCACTTTTACACCAAAAACCCTTTTAAAACTTCAACTATGAACCACCTCTTTGCTACACATTCGTATTCCATGATCTAACCCTTCTAACAAGTCCCAAATTATCTCATGACAGCTCCTAGACAGTTATTTTCTCACTTTCGCCCCTTTTTCTCAAACTCACCCATGAAAACCCCTCTTTTAGCCTTAAAACTCAAGAATTTGACCACCACTCACCCAAACACTTAAATTCAGTATTTCAACCTCTAAACCACTTCATCACACTCAATCATGACAGTATCACGCATTACAATCACACGATTCCAATTGTCCTCAACATCATACTATCAAAATCATCAATTAAACATACATAGTATACACACAATTGTACCAATTTCTTAAAGTCATCTATAATTCATAGAGATACAAATTTTATAATATAGCCATAAACTAAAGTAAGAATTCTAACTTCCCTTACCTCACAATAAGTTGTCTAACTCAAAGAACGTTCTACCAATTGCTTGAAACACAAAGAATCTTTAGAAGATCCTACGAAACACCGAAGGATGATCGGACATAGTCCTTATAACCTTAATTTATCCAAGGATGAAAAGGAAAACAGAAAGGCTACATGTAAAGGAGAATTCTTAGACAGAATCACAGATTGAAATCGAACAAAAACAAGGGTAGAAACTTACTAGCTCTATGACAGAAATTGATTGGCTAGAAATGTAGACCTCGTCGTCATGATCGATTAGACACCTTCTAATCGTGAAAGAGATGACTCAAGAGTCAGAACTCTAAGAGAAAAGGTAAAAAACTCTAGAAAAGTGGTTTCTAGAGGGATGATACATTTTAAAATAATGAAACTCGTTTATAACAAAATTATTTATAAATAACCCATTTAATATTAAAATAACTGAGTCTCATTATTTTTAAACTACCACCACTTTTAATATACCATTTTTTGGGATTTTACAGTTTCTATCTAAAATTAAATAAAATCATGAAAAACAAAATAAATGTATGCTATGATTGTTGCATACAAGTATTCTCTATTTACTTCTATAACCTTAATGAAAGTATATTTTGAAAATCTCGACTTATTTCCAATTAAAAAGTAAAGGTGTAGATTGAGTTTATGGATCTAGATAAACATATACCACACAAACATCACTTTTGGGGGTTAATTTATTTGATGTTATGAATGTTAGTAATTGTTATTTAAATTCTGTTTTGCATTTAAATTGTTTTGTTTTCTGATTCCATAAATTTAGGTCATGTTGACCAGAGATATAGGAGGCTAACAGTTTAGCTCCTTAATTTTAGGAAACCACCCACACTTCACGCATGGAGTGGGTAGGATGTTTGCTTCTGCATATTTCTTTAAATAGTTGTAGTTCATTTTTACAAAGTGTGAAATAAGAAGCATCTGTTTCAGAAATCTTATTTACCTGTGTCAGTTAACAATCTGGTATCAGAGCTCCGTAATAGGGGCCTGAACCAGAAATTCTGAGTGAGTTGGATGGTGAGTTGAGTGATACACCGAGGGTTTTTAAATCAAAATTGGGTAGAGAGTGAGTGGAACAATCATTTGGAAGAATGGCTGATTCAAAGTATGCACAACCTGCAATTCCTAAATTTGATGGACACTATGATCATTGGGCAAAACTCATGGAGAATTTCCTTCGATCAAAGGAATATTGGCATTTGGTGGAACATGGAGTAAAGGTTGTTCCAGACAAAACTATTGCATCAGAGGTAGAAATTAAAGTCATGGAGGAGCAGAAACTTAAGGATTTAAAGATCAAAAACTATCTCTATCAAGCCATAGATAGAGAAATTTTGGATACCATTCTCAATGATGAAACATCAAAAAATATATGGGATTCCATGAAGCAGAAGTTTCAAGGTTCAACACGAGTCAAACGTGCTCAATTACAAGCCCTACGCAAAGAGTTCGAAACGCTACAGATGAAGGAGGAAGAATCTGTGAATTCTTATTTTTCCAGAACATTGAAGATTGCCAAAAGCATGAAAGCTGTTGGAGAAAGTATGCAAGAAAGTGTTATAACTGCGAAAATCCTGCGGTCTATGACAATCCAATTCAATTATGTGGTGTGCTCCATTGAAGAATCAAATAACTTGGATTCCATGACAATAGACGAACTACAAAGTAGTCTATTAGTTCATGAACAAAGAATGATACTTTCAACAACTGAAGAACATGTTATGCAAACCCTAGTAGATGACAGAAGTGGAAGAGGAAGAGGAAGAGGAAGAAGTAGAAGTAGAGGGGGATTTCGAGGTAGAGGAAGAGGAAGACAATCATTCAACAAGACCGAAGTTGAATGCTTCAACTGTCCCAAGTTTGGACATTTTCAATATGAATGTCCTTTGTGGGAAAAGAAGGCACATTATGCTGAAATGGAGGAACAAGAGGAAGAGGTCCTGCTGATGACCCCGGTAGAATGTAAAGAAGGAAAGAAAGATAAATGGTTCTTAGACTCAGGATGCAGTAACCACATGAGTGGTAACAAGGAGTGGTTCTCAACACTAGATGAGAATTTTCAACACAAAGTAAAGCTGGGAAATGATACCCACATAGCTGTGAAGGGAAAAGGAAGTGTTCGAATGATGGTGAATGGAATTATACATGTTATTACACATGTATACTATGTTCCATAACTCAAGAATAACCTATTGAGTATAGGGCAACTGCAAGAAAAGGGCTTAAGCATCACAATTTAGAACAATAAGTGCAATATTGTTCATTCAGAAAAAGGGTTGATTTTTGAGGTACATATGAGTGCAAACAGGATGTTTTCTCTGACAACAATCATGAAAGGGAACCAACAACAATCATAAAAGGGGAACCGATAACCTGTTTTCAGACAAATGAAGAAGACAGCTCCCAACTCTGGCATAATAGACTAGGGCATTTAAGTTATGATGGCTTAAAAACTCTTGTCACTAAGCAAATGGTGACTGGACTATCAACAATCACAACCCCTAAGGAGCTCTGTGTACATTGCTTGGCTGGAAAACAACACAAAAATTCAATATCAAAAAAATGTATGTGGAGAGCATCTAAACGGCTACAGCTGGTTCATGCAGATTTATGTGGACCCATTCATCCAACATCCAGTAGTAATAAGAGATATATCCTAAGTTTTATTGATGACTTATCACGTAAAACTTGGGTGTATTTCTTAAAGGAAAAATTTGAAACTTTCTCTTTCTTTAGAGATTTCAAAACTTTGGTGGAAAAGGAAGCAGGAGAAAGCATCATCTGCTTAAGAACTGACAGGGGAGGTGAATTTTCCTCAAAAATATTTGATGAATTTTGTAGAAGTGAAGGGATAAGGAGACAATTGACTACTGCCTATACTCCCCAACAAAATGGGGTTGCTGAAAGAAAGAACCGAACCATCATGAACATGGTTCGTTCAATGTTAATTGGAAGGCAAGTTCCAAAGATTTTCTGGCCAAAAGCAACCAAGTGGTGTGTCATATTCTGAATAGAAGCCCTACAACAGCAGTGTAGGATCAAACCCCTGAAGAAGCATGGAGTGGAGTGAAACCATCTATAAGTTATTTTCGAGTATTTGGTTGCTTAGCCCATGTTCACACACCAAATCAACAAAGAATCAAGTTAGATGAAAAAAGTAAGCCATGTGTTTTATTTGGAGTTAGTGATGAGTCTAAGGCATATAGACTATTTGATCCTATCAACAAAAAAATTATTATCAACAAAGATGTAATTTTTGAAGAATATAAGGGCTGGAACTGGGAGCAGAATAAAACAGCAGACCAGAGTTGGAAATGGGAGCAGAATAAGACTGCAGACCAGTAGAAAAATATTGAAAAAGATGAGCATGAAGAAAGCACTGAAAATCAACTTGAAGATGAATCAGAAAATGAGGAGCAGCAGGGGACAGATTCACACAATGCTAGAACAGATAGCTGGAATGAATCTCATACTCCAATACCTGAGATTCAAATTGAAGGGAGGGAAAGAAGGCAAAGAAGAAAACCCATATGGATGGCAGATTATGAAACAGGAGAAAGTGCTATGATTGTAACAGAAAATGATCCAGTAACAGTTGAAGAAGCTCTTAAAAGTAAGAAGTGGAGAGATGCAATGGTGAAAGAGATGGAAGCAATAGAAAGAAATCAAACATGGGAATTGACTGATGCACCAACAGGAGCAAAACCTATTGGAGTAAAATGGGTATTCAAGACCAAACTTAGAGAAAATGGAGAAATTGATAAGTGTAAAGCAAGGTTAGTAGCAAAAGGCTATGCACAACACTATGGAGTGGATTATACAGAAGTATTTGCACTAGTTGCCAAGCTAGACACCATCCGAATAATACTATCAATGGCTGCTCATAATGGCTGGATCATATTTCAATTAGATGTGAAAAGTTCATTTCTTCATGGAGAACTCAAGGAGGAAATCTATGTACAATAGCCAGCTGCATTTGTCAAGAAAGGGGAAGAAGAGAAAGTATACAAACTGAAGAAGGCACTTTATGGACTCAAACAAGCACCAAGAGCATGGTACAACAGAATAGAAGCCTACTTTATAAAAAATTGTTTTGAAAGATGTTACTGTGAACATACATTGTTCACAAAATCAGCAAAGGGAGGAACAAAACTATCCAAAAATGATGCAGGGACTAAAGTAGATGACACTTTATTCAAGCAAGCAGTTGGAAGTCTCATGTATTTAACCGCAACTCGACCAGATTTGATGTATGGAGTTAGCTTGATTAGCAGATTTATGGCCCAACCTACTGGGACACATTGGTCTGCAATCAAACGAATCTTAAGATATTTGAAATGAACTACAGAATTGGGAATTTTCTACAAAAAGGAGGAAGATACAACATTGATGGCTTATACGGATAGTGATTTTGCTGGAGACATAGATGACAGAAAGAGTACATCAGGTTTTGTATTCTCTCTAGGAACTAGAGCAGTCTCATGGTCTTCCAAGAAGCAACCAATAGTAACTCTTTCTACAACAAAATCAGAGTATATAGATGTTGCGTCATGTGCATGTCAATGCATATGGATTAAAAGAATTTTGGATCCTATTGGTTTTAACAGATCAAAACAGATTATGGTTTTATGTGACAGTAGTTCAGCCATTAAACTATCTGAAAATCCAGTATTTCATGGTAGAAGCAAGCATATTGATGTTAGATTTCATTTTTTAAGAGATCTTGTTAAAGAAGGAAGAATCAAGTTGGACTATTGCTACAGTCAAAATCAAATAGCTGATATGATGATTAAGCCACTAAAACTGGAGCAATTTCTGAAGTTTAGAAGAATGTTGGGCATGATTGAAGCATCACAAATAAACTAGATGCTTTATCAAGCATTTAGTTTAAGGGAGGGATTGTTAGTAATTGTTATTTAAATTCTGTTTTGCATTTAAATTGTTTTGTTTTCTGATTCCATAAATTTAGGTCATGTTGACCAGAGATATAGGAGGCTAACAGTTTAGCTCCTTAATTTTAGGAAACCACCCACACTTCACGCATGGAGTGGGTAGGATGTTTGCTTCTGCATATTTCTTTAAATAATTGTAGTTCATTTTTACAAAGTGTGAAATAAGAAGCATCTATTTTAGAAATCTTATTTACCTGTGTCAGTTAACAATGAAGAGCAGAAATTGAAGATCTTAAAGCTAAGAACTATCTCTTTCAAGCTTTAGATCGTTCAATTTTGGAAACTATAATGAACAAAGATACATCAAAGAGTATTTGGGGCTCCATGAAGAAGAAATATGAAGGAACAATCCGAGTAAATCGTGGTCATCTCCAAGTCTTGCGGAAGGAATTTGAAACATCCCACATGAAGGAAGGAGAATCAGTGAATGAATACCTTGCTCGTGTTATTGTCATTAGTAATAAGATGAAAGCCAATGGTGATGATTTGAAAGAAGTTGCAGTGGTAGAAAAGAATTTAAGGTCAACGACACCAAAGTTCAATTATGTTGTGTGTTCCATTGAAGAATCCAAAGATACATGTATATTGTTAATTGATGAGTTGCAAAGCAATTTGCTTGTGCACGAACAACGCATGAGTAATATTGTCCATGAAGAACATGCTCTAACGATTACTCAAAGCAACCAATATGTTGCTCCTGCTGGACGAGGAAGAAGGTGTTGGAATTCTCGAGGTAGAGGTCATGGAAGAAGCATGCAAAATATTAATAAAGCAACCGTGGAATGTTATAATTGTCACAAGCTCGGGTACTTTCAGTGGGAATGTAAACAAGGAGTGACAAATTTTGCCAAAATTCATGCAGAAAGTGTCAAAGAACACATGTTGGTCATGACTTATGTTGAAGTAAAGTAGCAGCAAAAGACAAATATATGCTTTCTTGACTCAGGGTGTAGTAATCACATGTGTGGCAAAAAGGAATATTTTTCTAAGCTTGATCAGAACTTCTCAGATTCAACAAACTTCTCATATTCAACAAAGCTGAGAAATAATTCAAATATGGTGGTTAATGGGAAAGGCAACATGAGACTTGATGTAAATGGAGTTATTAGAATTATCTCGGGAGTTTTCTTTGTTCCGAAATTAAAGAACAATTTACTGAGTCTGGGACAATTATAAGAGAAGGGGCTGAGCATTTTATCTCAACAGGGAAAATGCAAAAATATATTGTCTAGACAAAGGTTTGATTGTGCAATCTACTATGTTTTAACACAATTATAGAAGATGTAGTGCACCTGTGGCATTGTAGGTTTGGCCATTTAAGCTTTAAAGGCTTACAGACTCTGCAACAAAAAGGAATGATGGAAGGTTTACCACTGCTTAAGCCACCCTCTAAGTTATGCAAAGATTGTCTAATTGGGAAACAACATCGAGATTCATTTCCCACGAGAAGTTCTTGGAGAGCTTCATAGATTCTTCAGCTTGTTCATGCTAACATTTGTGGACCCATTAAGTCAGCCTCAAATAGCAAGAAAAGGTATTTGCTTACTTTTATTGATGATTTCAGTTGAAAAACTCCGGTTTATTTTCGTGCAGAAAAGTCAAAGGCCTTTACTATTTTCAAAAGATTTAAATTACATGTTGAGAAAGCAACAAATATGTCACTCAAAGGTTTGTGCACAGATCGTGGTGGAGAGTTCACGTCTCAAGAATTCAATAACTTCTGCAATGCGCATGGAGTGCAAAGACAATAACAGCTGCATATTCACCGCAACAAAATGGTGTTGCAGAACAGAAGAATCGAACAATTATCAATATGGTTTGCAACATGGTATCTAAAAAGAAAGTGCCTAAAACCTTTTGGCCAAAAGTAGTAAATTGGGTTGTGCATGTGTTAAACCAATGTCCAATGTTAGTAGTGAAGGACAAAACACCTGAAGAAGCTAAAGCGGAATCAAGCCATTAGTCCATCATTTCAGAGTCTTTGGTTGTGTCTCTTATGCTCACGTAACTGATAATTTAAGATCTAAACTAGATGAGAAAAGCTTGAAGTGTATTTTACTTGGAATCAGTGACAAATCAAAGGTATACAGACTTTAGGATCCTATCTCACAAAGGATTATAGTAAGTAGAGATGTGGTTTTTGCAGAAAATGAAGCATGGGAATGGAACAAATCATCAGTCCACTACTATTTGTGAGCTAGAATGGGAAGATGATGGCAAAGTTGTTTAAGAAGAATCTTTTGTACCAGATGTTGTTGATGCACAACCGAAGGAGTCTTTTGCCACTAATCATGAGACTTCTGAAGGTTTTATGGAAGGGAGGAGTAGGAAGCAATCAACTTGGCTAATAGACTATGTGTCTGGTGAAGGGTTGTTTGATGAAGAAGTTGTCTTCTACTCTGCATTCTTTGCCTTGTATACTGCTGGTGCTGACCCACTCAATCTTGATAAAACTGTGAAGATAGAAAAATGGAGAAATGTCGTGGATATAGAGATTGAGGCGATTGAAAAAATGGAATTTGGGAATTAATTGATCGGCTAAAGGAAGCTAAAGTAGTTGGAGTAAAGTGGGTTTACAAGACCAAACTCAATGAAAAGGGAGAAGTTGACAAGTTTAAAGCAAGGCTGGTAGTGAAAGGATATGCACAGCAGTACGATATAGATTACACAAATTGTTTTGCTCTTGTAGCTCATATGGAGACTGTGCGGTTGGTAATTGCATTTGCAACACAAAAAGGGTGGGCCATACATCAACTAGATGTGAAGTCTGCCTTTTTATATGGAGAATTAGCTGAAGATATCTTATTTGAGCAACCCCGTGGTTATGTGCAAAAAGGGAAAGAAGAAAAAGTGTACAAATTAAACAAAGCTCTTTATGGGCTTAAATAGGCTCTTCGTGCTTAGTACAACCACATTGAAGCATATTTTGTTAAGGAAGGTTTCAAAAAATGTGAATATGAGCATACTCTTTTTGTTAAACAAAACAAAAGGGGTAGCATGCTCATTGTAAGCTTATATGTTGATGATCTTCTATTTACAGGAAATGATGAGTTGATGTTTACTGAGTTTAAGAACTTAATGATGCTTGAGTTTGACATGATTGATCTTGGAAAAATGAAGTATTTTTTAGGTCTTGAAATCTTGCAAACATTTGGAGGAATCTTTATCTGTCAAAAGAAATATGTTGATGAGATGTTTCAACATTTTAAAATGAATCAAAGCAACTCAGTTCAAACTCCTATAGTTCGTGGTTTTAAGATTTGTAAAGACGAAGGAGGACAAAAGGTGGATAAAACTTGCTACATGCAAATGGTGGATTGTCTTATGTATCTCACTTTGACTCGTCCAGATTTGATGTTTGTTTTAAGTCTTTTGAGCAGGTATATGGAGAATCTCACTCACACTCAACTCTATTTACAACTAGCAAAAAGGGTACTAAGGTATATACAAGGAACTATCGAATTTGGATTTTTTTACAAGAAGGGAGGAAGTGATAAACTCATAGCATATACTGATAGTGGATGATAGAAAAAGTACAACTGAAAATGTCTTTCCTTTTGGATTTGGAGTTGTATCATGGTGTTCAAAGAAACAACTAATTGTCAGTTTGTCAACCACAGAGATAGAATTCATCACAGCAGCAACATCATGTTCTTGTCAAGCTATTTGGCCAAAGAGGCTGCTCATGACACTTGATCAAACTGAGAAAGAGTTCATAACTATTCAGCGCAACAATAATTCTGCTATCAAACTATCAAGAAACCCAGTATTACAGATTAATTTTCTTTCGAATTATCTCTCTCACATAATATTTTACGTTAAGAATAATGTGATATTTGTATTCAAAATGTAACCCATGCTCCTTTTGTATTGTTTTAAACAAAACTAATTTTCACCATATTTAGAAAAAAAATCAAAATAAACAAAATGTAACATCCCAAATATAATATTGAAACCATAAAAGAAACATCACATAGTAAATAAGATAGATCAGTTAATAAACTAGAAAAGAAA